GAACAAATTTAGTTACGAGGATTACCCCATAATGAACATCTACAAAATTTAATTTAAATTAATTAATTAATAGATCAGATATCAATAATTAATTAAAAAATCAATCAGCAACGGGAAAATATCAGCAATAAATATGGATAGGGAACAAAATTACGGATAACACAATCTATCTGAATCTATGCCTTTGCTTTTTGCATGCATGGCTTTTCACTTATTGGCTATCGCAATACGATTGAGATTGTCCAATTCTGCGAATTAGAAGAGGCCACGTATACAAAATATTAACGGAGACACACAAATATGGGGTTTGCGGTCGGCTTGAACCAAGAGACTTTCTTTTATTACCCTTTAGACAACTTTAATGAGCGATTCATGTTTAGCCCATTATCACAAACCGACGTAAAATTTTATATTATAGAATAAAAATAAATTATTAAAATAAAATATAAAAATTATCTAAAATATATCAAAGTTAATTTTTTTAGAAAAAAATTATCTCACTCGTATTTCTTCCTTGCCCGCTATTATGCCTTATTTGATCTTAGAGAGCAACGATAGACAAGTGTCAATGACAGATGCAAGGTTTGTTCAAAGTATATACGTGTTTATCTTAAAATTTAAATATTTTTATATTAATTATCCATTTACTATTAGTATTCAATCTAAAATTTTATTTGTCTATAATATAAAAAATTTATATTATTAATATATATATATATATATACTCACCCTAAAAATATTTATGAATTCACTATCGGTAAGGGTTGCTTTTTTTTTTTTTAAGTGATGGGAAAGAATTTCCACCACTAGATAGAATGGTGGGCAGCCAGCAGAATCTAGGAATATTCCTACTCCTACCCCTACCAAATCCATTTTCTTTTTAGGTTTACTCGTGTCGTCTTTAAGTTGTAGGATTTAAACTACTTGTCCGTGTCTTTTTTAGTCTTTATGGTGAAGTTAATCAACTCGTAATTTTTATAATTGCGGTTAATTAGTAGTTTGGTTTAATTTTCATATCAAATTTTATATTTATTTCGTACCTTATTTCTTATATTAAAATATTTTATTTTGTATCAATATCCGTCTCTTTATAATATATGTATTTCATTTTTATTATTTACATAACAAATCAAATCAACATTCAATTTTAAAATTCATATTTCTAAACAAACTTGATAATGATGGACATGCGTGAAAGTGATGGCTCATACTGATCGGATATGATCCAATTAGCTTGATCTGAAAAAAGAAAAAGAAGATCCAAGTAGTTAGCATGTTAGATGGACCAAGATCAGCAGAGTTTTGGCCTACTTAGTGGCCCTACCCAAACGTTACACTAATTAGTTACATATTTAGAAATATTTTTTTACTGTAGTCTTTCATATATTGATGAGGTAAAATGAGTTAGTGCAAATAAAATTTTATGATGGAAACTATTTATAAAATAAATAATTAACAAAAACAAATTCAAATTTTAATATAAAGACTGAATTGTGATCCAAATCAAATTTTGTTGATAAATTATAGGTTCATTACACATACTCATGAATTTCGAAGTATTTAGAAGAGTGAATTTAAGTTTGGACTTTAACATTTAATATGTTATTATTTGCTGAACGTTTATCTTACAAAAAAAGCTAAAAAAGAGAAAGAAAAGTAATAAAACTCGTAAGTAGGGGAGCTTCATGAGTTAAGCAGCTCGTGAGCAACTCGAACTCTGCTCGGTCAAAGCTCGATAAAAACTCGACTAGGATTGATTCGACTCGAACTCGAGCTCGACTCGAAACCTTAACGAGTTGTGTCAAGCAGAGTCCAACTCGACTCGATAAATTCACGAGCAACTCATTATTTTTTATATAACTTTTTAGTAGTTATCTTAAAAAATTATTTCATACACTCAAAAATAAAATCTTATTTATTATTTTTAATGTATTTATGGATTGTTACTTTGGAGTTTAGACTTTAAAATTACTTTGATAATTTTTTTGGTTAAATTTATTGATTTATGTTTATATTAAGTTTTTATATAGTATTAATATATTTTACCTATGGTTAAGAAAATAAGATAAAAATTTCGATGAGCTTAACAAATAATGAGGCGAGCAATGAGCTTCGAGCTTAACGAGCAACGAGTCGAGAAAAATTTTAACGAGCTTAATGAGCAACGAGTCGAGTCGAGCAATAAATTTTTTTAACGAGCACGAGTCGAGCACTACCCAACTCGTGATCGACTCAACTCGCTCGATAATAATCCCTACTCGTAAGTAACAATTAATATAATCGAATGACTACAATCAAAATTAAACAATATAATAATTGCATGATTAGACCAACTTCAGTACATCGCTTGAGTGGCTGCAATCTCCACTTAAGAGATGAATTTCAACTCCAACCCATCGTCACTTTAATTCTGGATTGTGACGACAGCTACAGTTGCACGATATAACTGGCGTTGCACTGTAGCAGTGCAACATATATATATATATATATATATATATATATATGTTATTTTTTTGATTTTTTGATTTTGTTATTTTTTTTACTTTCTTTTGTTATTTCCTTTTCCTTTTCTTTGTTACATTATTTTCTCTTATTCTATGTTTTTTTATTGTAATTTCTACACAATAAAATAAAAATTAAACATAATATAATAAATTCAAGTAGATTAAATTGCAAGATAGATAAAAATACATTAAAATTAGATAAATAAACATACTAATTTTTTGAAACATTAAAACTACAACAAACATAAAAACATAAAAAATACTAATAAAACTCAAACAACATTTGGAGTTCTTCAAAAACAAGAATGGGCGACTCTTATGCAAACTATCCATGAGCCAATTGGTCCCAAATTTTTTTTTGCGACAAAACAAGAAGCATGTCGAAAGGATGTCGAACGTGCATTTGGAGTTCTTCAAAGTCGATTTGCAATTGTGACAAATCCAACTCATTTTTGGAGCATAAATTATTTGAAAGATATTATGATTGCTTGCATAATAATGCATAATATGATAATCGAGGACGAACGAGATCTCAATTTCAAGAATTCCTTACCCGATTTAGACAAATCAAAGATGCAACTCATTTTGCTCTACGAAATGTACTAATTGAGCATTTGTGGAATGAATATTCTAATTCGGAGAATTAAAATATATAATTATGTAACTTATGTTTTTTCTCATTATTATTATGAATTGTAATTTTCTTATTTATTTGTATTTTCGTAATTTTATTTATGAATATTTTATTTATACTTTTTATCTTGATATTTATTAGAAATGTATATGTTTTATTTTATATTTGTAAATCAATATTATAATAGTTAAATATTGTGAATAAAGTAGAGTTGATGGTAATGTAGAGATAGTGATAAAGATGAATTATTGTTTTATCTTTAGAGTAGAAATAGAGATGCTGTATGGTAGAGATGAGTGATGGATATGGTCTTAACGAGGATTCATCCCTTTATAATTATAATAGTAAGTGATTGGTGGACATTGTCATGTCTGGTGCCGGCACTGCCCGATAATCAATTGTCGGAATCATGGATCCCGAGATATACAGCTCAGGCTGCTTGACCACCTCCCTTGATTTCCTCATCTCCCTACCCCCAACGCCCCCACACCCCTCGACCCAATATCCGCAACTTGTGCTGTCCTTCTCCAAATTTATTGTTATGGGGTTATATATATATTTATTTCAGAAATGATTGTAAAATAATATATATTTGAAAAAAATTTAATTATTTAACAATGAGTACCTAAGCAGTCGAGTAGACGATATGCTCAAGTTTAATATTTATAAAAAGAACTATTGTACATTTAATTACTGTAGTCGGTTGGATTGCGCTTGATTTGGGTTATATTTGTTTCACATCTTAGCCTTACAATTTATTTATCTTACAAAACCAGAGTACAAAACCCTCCGACCGTTGAACTTGGACACTTGCTTTCTGTCATTCATGCACTTTGGATAAAGTCCACGAAAATGACAGCCTTGCTTCTATATTGAGATCTACATCTTTACTGCAATGCTTATATGTATCCTTTATATTCAGATACATGTATTGCTTAATTATGCCAGCAACCGTAGACTTCTTCTCATGAAAGGAATAAGATTTTTGGATTTTTTTTATACTTAAAGCTATATCTACATCTTGGAGTTCCGTATGTTACGTATTGTAAAGAGTAGACTTTTGATAAATTTTTAAAAATAAAACTCAAATCTTAAATAAATATATGCAGGGATAGAGTCAACTGGTGATTGGGAGGGTGGCAAAAAATTTTGGGACTAAAATATATTACTAATAAAGACACACAAAATTTAATAATATAACAATCTTTGTGGAAGTTAATAATTTATCATCATGCATTCCAATTTTTAGCTGAAAACTAAAACTTGCAAGTAAAAAGGACGTAGCCACTCAATCATTTTCAATTGACTTCATCCTCCTCAGTAAAAGATGCATCAAACAACAAAATAAACTTGAAAAGTACAAATTAATGGAGTTGTTGGAACAGCCGATATGCGTGGAGACCGGAGAGATCCACGAGCCACATGAGGAGTTGTCCATGCAACATTCATGAATCATCATCCACACCAAAAGAACTTTAAGAAAAAAAAGAGTCTTAGTTTAATAGAGAAAGTCAAAGCAGCAATAAGGCCATTGCAACACCGACGCTTGTCCCAAAGCTTCCCCCATTTAATGCATTTCACAAAAGAAAGTCTTTCCCATTTTTTAAATTCCCGGGAAGTAGTGTTTTCTTCTTCCAAAGCCTTGGAAATGGCCCCTTTCTAATTTTGCGTGTGTTGACCTTGAACAGCTTGCATTTGTTCATTGCCTTCCCTTCCCTCTTAAGTCTATATGTATAAAAGGTTTCTCTCTACTTTCTTCCTCACCAGCTATTTCCCCCTCCCTTATTTCCATATATAGTTTCAGAAAAAGCTAGTTTTTGTTTGTTTTTACCTATAGAATCACTTTAGATTTAGTAATTACACCAAAAGTTATGGATGAAATTGAGATCCCTTCTCATTTTCTTTGTCCAATTTCGCTCCAACTAATGAGAGATCCTGTTACCATCTCTACTGGGATAACGTACGACAGAGAGAGTATAGAGCAATGGTTGTTTTCATTCAAGAACATGGTATGTCCCGTAACGAAACAAGTTTTACACGAGTTAGATCTAACCCCAAACCACACTCTTCGTCGCTTGATCCAAGCGTGGTGCACTCTTAATGCTTCCCATGGAATCGAAAGAATCCCGACACCGAAACCTCCGATCAACAAGACCCAGATCGTCAAGCTCATTCAAGATGCGAACAAGTTCCCGGAGATGCAAGTCCGATGCCTTAAAATTCTAAGATCAATCACACTTGAAAGCGAAAGAAATAGAAGCTGCTTGGAAGCCGCTGGTGCTGTTGAATTCCTGGTATCCATCATCAAGAGTTACGATTCTTCGTTGTTACTTGAAATCGAGAGCAACGAAGGGTCTGAAGTTATAAAAGCTGGCGACGAAGCGTTGAGCATTCTTTATCATATCAAGGTATCCGGAAGCTGTCTAAAGAGTATCGTTAGCAGTGATAATGGATTTGTAGAGTCTTTACTGATAATTCTGAAAAAGGGTAGCTACCAATCTCGTGCATACGCCACGATGCTGTTGAAGGAAGTTTTTGAAGTGGCGGATCCAATCCATTTGATCAGCCTCAGACCCGAATTCTTTGCGGAAATCGTACGCACATTGCGAGACCAGATCTCACTACAAGCCTCCAAGGCGGCATTGAAACTCCTGGTGGAGCTTTGTCCCTGGGGAAGAAACAGGATCAAGGCCGTTGAAGGAGGAGCCGTGTTCGTCATTGTCGAGCTTCTCCTCCAAAGCTCCGACAAGAGAACTTCCGAGCTCGCATTGGTAGTCCTTGATCAACTGTGCGGTTGCGCAGAAGGGAGGGCGGAGTTCTTGAACCACGGGGCGGGGCTAGCAATGGTGTCAAAGAAAATATTTAGGGTTTCACATGCGGGGAGCGAGAGGGCAGTGAGGATTCTATTATCGATTTGCAGGTTTTCGGCAACATCTAGGGTACTTCAGGAGATGTTGCAGGTTGGTGTGGTGGCGAAACTTTGTTTGGTGCTTCAACTTGATAGTACTTATAAGACCAAGGAGAAAGCAAGGGAGATACTGAAATTGCACGCTAGGGTTTGGAGGAACCATGCTTGTATTCCTTCTCATTTGTTGTCTTCTTATCCATCTTCTTCTTGAGATTGATGCTCTTTTCTCATTTTTGTAGATAGATTGAAACAGGCATGGGGTGAAATTAAAGCAGATCCCTCCATGCAATTAATGTTGGAATTATACAATTTTAATAGGCATGAAATACCATGAGAATTTTTAATTGTTCTTTGAAAATAACTTTTATTATTTTTCTTTATGAAAATAGGAAAGAAAAAATGTTGTACGTGTTTCTTTTTCGTGTCACATTATATCACGAGACATATTTTTATGATACCCATGATGCTATAAAGAATTAGAGATATATTATCTTTACCCAAAATTATGAAAGGAGGATTCTTGCTCAATTTTCACCAATTTTTTTACCTTTAGGTTTAGAGGGCTCTCATTGCTCTTTTGTTAATCAAATAACATTAAAACAGAAATGTAATCAATCTAAAAGATAAGACATGCTAAGAACTAATTTAGAAACATTTAAATATTCTAACACTCTCCTAACCTAGCCATGAAGCCTAAACCCTACGTAAAATCTCCCTTGATCTCTCGCCTTCAAAAAGAGTGACATAAAACTCATTTTGAAGCTATAGAATGAATGAAATGCTTTCTTTCCTTCTTTGAGCTGATATTCTAACCACAATTACCTATATAAGAGTTTGGTTCAAAGGAAAGGGAGAAGGAGACAAAGGGAATGTAGGGAGAAAAAAGTGAGTGGAGAAAGCCTTCATCCTTCCCATTGTCGTAACCGGTTTTCGTCCGGGCACGAATTTTCTTACTCTTTCTAGGCCCAAGGTCTAATTCTCACCCGAACGAGGTTCAATGTACCTCAGAGGTCAAAATTACTCTCACTCCCGCCTAAAGTTATCTCAAGTTAACTCTCATTCGTTGACTTTAAAACTAGGTTGTTACAATGTAACAATTATTTAACTTGGCGAGGTGATTAAGTGTTGCTTGTTTCAAGTCTCAAGTTCAATCCCCAAACTCATCTATATACTTTTTTTTTAATTTTTATAAACAAGATGATGATACATGTCACCATATTATCGGAGAGTTAAATTAATTAAATTATTTATAATTAAACTAAGAATCAGATTGAATTGATTTGTATATTAAAAGTTAGCTTTATTGAATTATTTTTAAATTATGACTACATTGATTAAATGTGTAAAAATGATGAACTAAATATTTTAATATGAAAATTTAAAACCGCCACATCAGTTTTGTCATTACTAATTTAATGATACATGATTTTATTGAAATAAAATAAAATTTTAATAGTTTAATTGTAACTTTTAACACACTAATTAGAATAGAACCGACATTATAATTTAATAATTAATAGGATAATTTATCTAAAATTTTACTATATAAAATTACTGTTGAACTAACTTATTGTATGTGTTCAGGATAGCGAGTTAAAATAAATGCTGAAATAAATATTGATATGTCGTTAATCGGTATTCACCTTAATTCTATACAATACTATTATTCTTCTTAAACATAAAAACGAAATGATAATCCTCACGTACGTCGCTCACTTCTCTTTCTTTTTATCTTGGTTTGGTCGGCGGCTCTATCAATTTTAGTGTTAGTTATCGATATTTATTTTTTTCTTTAGTTTATTATATTACATGTTTATTTTTTTAGTTTCTAGTAATTTTATTTTCATAGCATGTTTTTTATTTATTTATTTTTGTGACACTTTATCCTATGATGTTTGGTACGTTCTATCTTTTTGTCAGTCGTTTGGTCATTTTTTCGTTTATCTCTTTTTCAGGATTAGATTCAACATTATTTCTACAGATCAAAACGACGTTTATTTGTTATCATATTGATATTCTCTGTTTTAGACTCTCGGATTGGATTTGGATACGCGGTTGCATTTGTGGATAGTTTTCTCACGTCTCTCGACTTTGATTTACGATTTTTTAGTGATCTTTCAGTAGTTTGATCATCTTTTGTGGTTTGTTTGTCGATGTAGTCAGATCTGCTTGTATCTATTTTTTGTTCGAGTTATTTGGTTGGATTTTTATCTTTTTCCTTATATGGTCCTTGTACGATCTTGAGTTGTTAGTTTTCTTGTGTTAATGCTTATAGAAAAATGTTCTAATTATGTTTTAATTTATGATTATGATTGTAAATCTTTATTGTAATTCTGGATATTTCTTCTATTTAATAAAACTAACGGCTTCCAGTAAAAAATGAAATAATAATAAATAATTAAAATAGAATATTAAATACAATACCCAATAAAATGAAACATAAATCTAAAAATTAATATTATCAAATTCCATAAAAGTATATAATATATTAAATATTATTATAAGACTTATAACAGATGAACAAATTTAGTTATTGTAAGTTCTATCGGCCAAGCTCAGGGTGTTTAAGGCGACATTGGTGTACGCATTGGGCTTGGGGTTGTTCATCCTCAAATCCCAATACATACATTCAAATATTTCAGTCTTTCTAAATTTGTAAGGCCCAATCATAGTTAATTAATCATTTATTTTATTTTATTTTATTTTACTGATGAAATTCTAATTCGATAATAATTTTAATTATATTTTTAATAATTAATTATAATTGAAGTTATTGAATCATCTTAGTGGTAAAAAGGAATGTTTGTCATCCTTAGTGGACCCAAATTTATGTAGTTGTTTCTACAGAGTGTATATATATTATCAATAATTTAAAAATATTTGGAATAAATATTATATTGTAATCACACTAAATTATTTTTAAAAATTAATTGTTATTGTAATTCCTTAAAAATATAATTATTAATATATTTTAGGTTCTTTTTGTATTAATATTAAATTCGTTAAAAAAATAAGTAAACAAACAACAATTGATTAATTTAGTTCCGAATTCCAGAAGTAATATTAATACGAAAAACAACGACCAATAATAATAAAAGCAAATCACTTGCCAAGTCACTTGGACATTGATGGGTTTGAAATTCGATTTATTTTCAATGTTAAATTGTTTTAATTATTAACAATTAATATTTTTAAAAAAACTTTTGTCAATTAATTAATCATTTTTTATATATTTATATAATATTCATATATTTTATATGTTGTTAGACTGTGCCTTCCTCGTATTTAGAATTAAATTAAAATACTCAAACTAATAACTTTAAAATTATTACAATAACGATAATACCAATAAAATTAAAATTCAATCGTTATATTATATAAGTATTTATATATTCATATTGTATTGGTATTGCGTTTACATTCGTATTTTATAATGTAATCGGATTAAAAAGGATAAAGTTGAGTGAACATGCTTATCAATCGCATCAAATCTTTATTATACACACGAATCATTCAACCGAAATTGTTTATAAAATAGATTTGATTGACGGTCAATTAAGAATAGCCACCGGACACAAAAACAAATTTGATTGGGTTTAGGAGATTTATTTGGATTTGGATTTTTCTTCATTGTCACAATTAATTTTCATTTGATGATATTAGTGGACACAAGATCTGTAATCAAATCATTCGACGAAAAGAAAATACAAGAGAGAAGATTTAGAAGTTTGAAGAAGAAGAAGATTTCTTGAATATGTTGCAGTCTCATATAGAATATTTATTAGGGAAATAAAAAGCAATGTTATGCCCCCTCTTCTTTTAACATTTTTAAAGATTAATTGTCTAATCGAATTTATATCAAATTGAACTTATGAAATTCAAGTTTAGTCAAATCAAAATTTTGAGTTTCTGTTCAAATTTAATTATAAATGTTTATAATATTATTTATAATGTTATAGTATAAATTGATCTAATTTAACGACTTTTTCTAACTATATAAGATATACATATATATACATTTCTTCATTTTTTCCATATTGCAATGCCATTCAATAAATCAAATGTTGTCTAAAATTATAAAATATATTTATAATTTTATTTTCTAAAGAATGTATTTTGAGAGAGAAAGTATCAACGGAAGTATGAAAGCATCGAAAAATGATGAAAAGAAAGAATTTTCAAAAAAATATATAGTAAAAAATAAATTTACTAAAATGCAAACTTAAGATACTTAAATTATAAACATAATACATTCATTGTTAAAAATAGAAATTAAAGTTATATATATATATATATATATATATATATATATATATTCTATAGTATTAGAGGACGTGACTGAAATTTGGACTTAAAATGACTGAAAAATTAGGGGTACGAGAAGTTAGGAGTGAATATTCAAGTTAGTCTACATAAATAAGTTCGAATTAGTCGAATTGACGAATCATATTTCATCGTTCAAACTTCATTTGAATTTTTTTAGTCAGATTGAATGTATAAAATTTGAGTAGAATTAAGTTAATTTTTCAAATCAGATTTTGTTCACCTCTAAACATGTTATAATTATATAATTACACTCAATCATATTAAAATCTAATTACATGATAACTTTTCAGACGGGTCGTTAATTGATATTGATGTTTATCGATATGACTATAATCATCAATCACTGATTTTTTTTTACTATAAACTGCAGTAATTTTTATACATTTGACCCCAAGGTTACCTTTGGTACCTGGTTAATAGATAAACAGCGATACAGGGAGAATCACTCCACAAATTAGAATGCAATCTAAGTACCCCTCTGGCTTTCTGTTTCAGATATATAGGACAATCTGCTTGAATTACCATGCAAAGCTTTGTCACTGCCCCAACCCTCAACATCTCCAAAAGCACTTCTTTGGTTGCTGCATTTTTTGAGATGAATGAAAGTATGCAAACCGCTTGATCATCTGTCGCCGGGGAAACTCTTAGGATCCTTTTAGCCACCATGGCTATGCTTCCTGCATGTCGAAGAAACTCGGCTCTACCTTCGGCGCATGAACATAGATGTGCCAAAAGGTTGAAGATCAGTTCGGATATGTTCTTTTCGGGTTTATCGAGTTCTAATTCGATGACCTCGAAGATGGTGTTGGACTCGACAATCTTCGATTTGTTTCTTCCCAAAATACATATCTGGATCAAAATTTGCAAGGCGGATTTGGTCGCTTGTTGAGAG